AGCTGAGCTCTAGGGGAAGGGGGTGGGGGGGCCAGTTCCTACAGACCAGTAATGCTTTGTAGCTCCTTTCATCCCAGGAGTTCCCTCTCTCAGCTGCCTATCACGGGGATTTGAAGGAACTTGCCCAAGATCATACAGTGAGTGAACCGCAGAACAAGGAACAGGAGTTGTGACTTCTCCTAGCTCTAACCACTAGACCCCACTCCACCCTCAGAGCCAGAAAGAGAACCCGGGAGTCCTGACTGCTATGCCCACGCTCTAACCACCAGCCCCCATTCCCACTCCTGGAGGAATTGGTAAAAGAGTTTCTCCCTCCTGGGATTTATTCCCCAGCCACACTTCCATGCGGCCTAGTGCTAAAGAGAAGCCAGGCAGACGGGACGTGGGACCAGGATTTCTACTGTATGGCAGGCTGCTCTGGTCCTGCTTATGCAGACTCTTCTCTCTGTCCCGCTCTAGTGGCTAGACAACATATAGAGGTTTATGAGCCCACTGATGGCCCGGGATCTTTCGCACGGGCAGCAGCGGCTCATGCTGTTAGATCCAAAGGTCCTGAGTTCAAACACCACACACGCTCCAAGCCCCGGGGTGTGGCTGCCCCGGTATCTGTGCTGGATATACCGCCACAATCCGCACGAAGAAAACTTCCCTGTAGGTTTGCCAGTGGCTCACGCTCATCTGGCCCCCAGAACATGCTAATACCCAGCAGCCCAGTCCGGCACGGGGGCTCAGCTGCCACCGAGGCAGGTGGCTCCCAGTTACACATATCCCTGCACAGCCTGGAAGGGGGGGTTGTGTTGGGATTTGACTCCCCAGCCTCCACTTTCTCTTCCCCAGGGGCCCGTCCCCACGCCGCTGAGCCAAGGGGTGGCCAGCCGTGCTCTAAAGAGAAAAGGAGCTGCGCTGTCACGCGGCTCTATCTCGAGATCACCAGCCGTCCTCCAAGGAGGGCAGGTGCCGGGCAATGTTCCCTCACCCAGCTCTGCTAATTCACTTTCCTCGTGCCCTGGGACCCTGTTAGGGGCTTTCCCTTCACCCCCTCCCCTGGTTCTTGTCACGCAGCCAGAAAGCAGAGGACCGGACGTCTGAAGTGCAGGCAACGCGATGTTTACTTGGGTTAGTTTTAAGCAAGCATATCCGGAGCTCTGACACCGCAGAGCCTTGTTTCCCATGTCCCAGTTCCCCCCTTCTTAGCAGGCATAATTATCCCGGAAGTGCCCGCCCTTGGTCCCACCCCTTACAATTTATGGTCATGCTCCGTTTTGGGGGGTTGTGAGTCTGCGAGCTTCGGCGCCACCTCTTTTGTATCCTATGGGAGGGGTAAGGAGTGAGGTGGTGTTTCGGGCAGGGACAGGCATTTCTTTGGCTTTGAGTGTTTCTTATGCCTCCCCCTGGCCCCTCCTAACCGGTTGCTTGACCTTGGCTTGAGAGAGGAGCCAGGCAGCCTTCCAGCGTACGCTCGTATATTACACTCCCACCATACCCAGGAACACTTTAGGTCTGTTTCTTATTTTTTTTTCTCATTATATTAACAAATCCATCTGGCTGGGCAGAAGCAACACACAGCGTCTTTGTTCACACATTAGTAAGGCTATAAGAGTATCAAAAATTAAACCCAAAATTCTATCTCAGGCTAACAAACAGGCCTATATACTAACAAACCCCCCGCTGCTGTCCCAGCCTGGGGCTCCCTCCCTCGCTCTACCAATGCACCCACTCCTAGTGGCCTCCCTTAGATGCTGAATGGGAGACCAGATGGAGCTTCAGGGCCTCCGTAGCTGAGGACTCCCATAAAAGACAGAGAGATCAGAAAGCACTTTACAGAGGACGTCAAGCTCATTATCCCCATGTTACAGAAGGGGAAACTGAGGCACAGAGACTCATAGAATATCAGGGTTGGACGGGACCTCAGGAGATCATCTAGTTCAACCCTCTGCTTAAAGCAGGGCCAATCCCCAGACAGATTTTTGCCCCAGATCCCTAAATAGCCCCCTTGAGAATTGAACTCACAACCCTGGGTTTAGCAGGCCAATGCTCAAACCACTGAGCTATCCCTCCCCCGTTGCCCAAGATGACCCAGCAGGGCAGTGACAGATCCAGGACTAGAACGCAGGTCTCCAGCATCCCCCAGCAGGTCTCCAGCTACTAGGCCACACTGCCTGCATGGGTCACCCTCTCCCTGGCCCAGGAGAGACCACCCATCCATGGAACCACATGCATCGGCTATGGGAGATCACCCACCAATGGCCCAGCCCCCAGAGGAGCCTAGGCTAGGGCGTTACTCGAACCCTGCTCTAACTCGGATTCTTGTTGGGCAGGGCCTCGAAGGACAATGGACTACCTGCAGCCCTGGCAGCGTGGCAATGAAAATGAAAGGGTGACAAGCAGCAACTTATTTGCCGTCTCATTGTCCCTCCGGCCTGGGCTGCGCCTTTCCACGGCTTTCAGCACATACACAAATAAAGAGCTCATGTTTATATAGGACCACGAGCGTGCTGGCACGTCACAGACAACTGGGCAAGCAGGGCACAGGATTGGGACCCAGCAGAGTCCTGGGCTCTGTTCCCCGCATGGGCACAGATCTGCTGCGTGACCCTGGGGAAGACACTTCCCCCCCTCTGCGCCTGTCTCCACTCCCACCGTGTCTGTCCTCTGTTTAGCTGGGGAGCTCTTCAGACCAGGGCTGTACAATACCCAGCACAAGGGGGCTCTGAGCTTGGGCCGGGCCTCTAGGTCCCTGCTCCAAAGAGCACAGGGTCAGAAATCAACGGGACTACTCCAGGAGTAAGGCACGACTCAAGAGGATCGGGCGCAGGCTCAAACAGTCTGAATAGACAATGTTGGGAGATGACGTCCCAGCATTTCACTCCCCTCAAGCCACCCCAGCTACAGGAAAGCCAGCGGGATTCTCTTCCTCCTTGCACGTCAGCAGCCCACTCGCTTGCTGCGGTCCCATCAGGGAAGGCAACATTTGGGGTGCGGCAACTTGATTCCTGGGGATGATGTGAGAAGGAAAGAGCCCAGCTTGGCTCTCAGCTTCGGGGGGCGGGACGTGTTAGGGAAAGAATCTTTTGACTTGTCAAGTGAGTATTGGAGACAAAACATGGACACGGACTCGCCGCGGGGCAGAGCCACCCTTTAAAGAGGGGCTGGAGGCTCAGCAGACCGATCCGGGGGAGGATGCTCCAATCTAGGACCGGAGGCAGCGTGGAAGGACCCAGATGGTGACAGCAAGACCCGGCTACTTGTCTTCCAGCTCTAGGCCCCACTCCTGCTGTTGGCTCTGCTAGCGAGCACCCCAGCGGGGCCCGGGGTGGGATCCGGGCCATACCCATCACACAACGGAAAGACGCTGCGAGTGCTTTAACACTGAGGTTGAGCGGTTCACCCCCCTCCACAAGGGACACGGCCGAGGCACGGCTGGGGAGCGCAGCTTAGCCGGGAGTTCACGATTAACGATTAGTTACACATTATGGTCCTGCTCCCAGCTCCTTGGCTCAGAGGATCATGAGTGGAAGGAAGCGTCCCCTAAGGAGAAGCGCCTGGGGAACAGTTACATGCCAAGTGTTGGAGCAACAGCTCGTTGCGGACAGAGCCCGCGGCCTATGAATTGGCTGGAGGTTTTTTCAATAAAACAGCCGGTTCGCTTGGTGTTTGTGGTTTTGGCAAAATCCCAAGCTGAGCTCCCTTCCCCCTGCTGATTTCTCACTGGAAGGCAGAGCCCTTGCGGCTAAGATATCAGGCTTCGAAAGGTCACGCACACCCACTCACCTCGAATGAACCCGCTCAGCTTTCCAAGCCAGGAGGGTGCCGGGCGAGCCCAGCCCCAGGAAAGGGAGTTGAATTTTGTATCACCCAAGTGAAGCTAGAGCCTTAGACTCCAGCAAGGCGCGAGAGGAGATGCTGCCAAGTGCAAAGGCCGGAGGTCTAAAATTAACAAACCCAGCAGCGTGCGGAGTCTCCAGAGGGACAGTAGGTTAAAGTTCAACTCCCCTTTTCCGCTCAGCCTAAACTTCTGATCCCGAGTAAGTAACGTCTGATGGCGTTTGTTAAACATTTTATTGTAACTTTACCCCAATAACAATTTTTTATTTTTTTTTTAAAGTAGGTGCCTTAAATGCAGAGGGAAAAACAATATTAGTTTGAATCCGTCTCATTGAGTGGTTGGATCAGGTAGTTGGGAATCAGGACTCCTGGGTTCTACGCCCAGTTCTGGGAAGGTTAAAGCAGGGGGGTGCTGGGGTCTGATTCTATTCCCAGCTCATGGTCACGTTTTAGGTCCCTGGGCAAATCTTAACTTCGCTGGCTCAGTTTCCACAACTGTAAAATGGGGATAATATAATATGACCTACCTGATAGGGGCATTATGGGTTTTAATCCATGTTGGTAAAGAGGCTGGAGGTGGACATAGGAATATTAAACCTCAGCTTGTAGCTGAGAAAAAATGTAGGTGACAGAGTCCAATTTGGGTGAAAGGAGAGGAACCCCCGATAGAAACGAAAGGGAGCACAGCCTGGGTGGGGCGAGTCGGGGGGGATCCTTTGGAAGGGACGCGCATGCAGCAACAGCAACAGTAGGTGGTGCTAGCAGGCACCAATCCTGCATTGACTGCAAGGCCTCTGGCTGGAGTGGCCATGTGATGCCTACCCCTGCGCTGCCAGCGAGCCGGCTGTTTGATCATGAATCAGCCGGAGCCAGGTCTGTCCATAACCACAACCCTTCTTGTGGAAGAAGTCTCCCGGCGGGGGGGTTTACTTGGCCGGCTCTTAGGATTCTTGGCTGGCTGCATTCAGGGGCTCGAACACAGGTAGTTTCCATCATGTATTTTGTGGGGCGTGGGAGCTCTCGTGCCACCGTTTGGGCAGGGATAGCTCAGTGGTTTGAGCAGTGGCCTGCTAAACCCAGGGTTGGCAGTTCAATCCTTGAGGGGGCCACTTAGGGATCTGGGGCAAAATCAGTACTTGGTCCTGCTAGTGAAGGCAGGGGGCTGGACTCGATGACCTTTCAGGGTCCCTTCCAGTTCTAGGATAGGTATATCTCCTTTGCACCTAAGCCATATTCTGATTGATCCACAGCTGGACTAAAGAACAGACATGACAGCTGCAGGGGGCACCCGGGGATACATCAAGGGCACATCTAGCCTTGGCCAAAAGGGGCTTGTCAATAGACTAGTCTATAAAAGCCTTTCAAGACAGTTGGACATGCCCAGATTCCCTAGAAGCAGGAGTTTGAATCCCAGCAGGGGCATCTTAGCTTAGTTTGTCATCCTCCAAGGCAGAGTTCCATGCAGGGCAGATATGAAATTTGCAGAGGTCCAACCTGTGCAGTGTGGCTATTAGAGAGCCTTGCAACTTCCTTCTCAAGAGGGTTTGCTCAGTGTCCTTGAACAGCCTCTGCCAGCGTTGTGCATTGCACTGGCTCGCTGCCGTGCTCCACACCAGAGGTAGCTGCGTTTTAGTGATGCCAGGGGGTATAACATGTGAAGCATCCTGGGATCTATGGGATGAGTGGCACGATATGAATTCAGAATTACAACTATTTTCCAGAGAGAAAGGAGTGGGGGGGAAGAAGAGACACTGGCAGGGGTAGATTTAGGGAACCAGTTCTGGCTACAGAACGGCCTCCTCTTTCTCTGCATTGACCTGCTGGAGAGACAAGCTCCTGCATGTGCAGCTGCTTCTTCAAACTTCTTGGGTTGGCCAAACTGGGCTGGAAGTTCACGGTGCGATTCCTGGGTCACCGTGAGCACAGCAGAAGTGCGGTCAAGGCATCACGGGTTCTGTGGGGCCTTGTAGAAAATGATCCTGCAGCTGTGATTGGATCCTCCCCCTCCTCTAAGCTCCCTCGTGCCTGCCTGCGGACAAAGCCAGCCCAGCTCTTTCTGAGGTGCCAGAGCTTCTGGCGAGACACCCCGAGCCTGGCGGTGGAGCAGGAAAGGTACTTGGGGAACTCCACCCACTATAGGTCTGCTGGCAGGGAATCGGGGGAGGTGCTGTGCCCGTGTGTGGGGAGCAGGGATCCCAGCAGAACAGATCTGTGTACGACTGCCCAGGCCTAAGGCTGCGTGTCACTGATCAGCCCCACCCCCGCAGGAAGGAGCGCCAGACAGCTAAGAAAAAAAAAAAAAACCAGTGAAAGATTTTATTACTACCTGTCATCACATCCCCAAGCCAGCGGGGCCCTGGCTCATAGGCCCCTGTATGGTGTGCAGTGAGGGACAGGCCTCGGCCCGTCTGCTGCACTAATCTATGAAATGGACGTAGTTCCTTGGCAGAAAAGATCCTCCCCGCCTGGAGCCTGCTCTGGTTGGAGATGGGGGAAAGGCAGAGCCGGCAGGGGGCTGCCCCAAGCCAACGGCTCTGAGAGCTGCAGTGGGTGCGGTTTACAGCCAGGGCCGAGTGTGGCCTTCACACCGTGCTTTGGGCACCCCCAAATTACCTGCATCCCCCAGGAAAGGGCTCCCGTTGCTCGCTGGGCCTGGAGGAGCGGCTCCACGAGCTGCCTGGCAAGCAACTGCAAAGCAGCTCTCTAATCCAACCCAATGTCCCATGCAGCCTGCCTGGCAGGCGTTCCCTGGCCGGGGGTCTTCAGGAGGAGCACGTGGCTTCCCACTGCCGGAAGATCCGGAACACCTTGCAGGATTTTACTGAGATGCTCTGCAACAAAGAGGAAACAAGGGGACAATCAGAGGTCAAGTCACTCCAGCGGGGAATCGCACCCCAATCATAGAATCTCAGGGTTGGAAGGGACCTCAGGAGGTCATCTAGTCCCACCCCCTGCTCAAAGCAGGACCAACCCCAACTAAATCCCCAAATTCCTAAATGGCCTCCTCAAGGACTGAACTCACAACCCTGGGTTTAGCAGGCCAATGCTCAAACCACTGAGCTATTCCTCCCGCCAATGGCCCAGCTGGGGGGTTCCCTCTAAAGCCCCAGGAGAGAGGACAGGCAGCAAAAGTGCAGGACAGAACCACTGGCACGTTCATCCCAGGGTCACACTTGCTTTACAGACACTAGCCCTTATTACATAATCCCATTTTACTGAAGAGGAAACTGAGGCATGGAATGGGGGAGTGACAGAGTTAGAGCCAGAAATAGAACTGAGATCTCCTGATTCCCAGGCCTGGGCTCTAGCCTCCAGCCTACGCTTGTTCTAGCATCCTGATAAATTATCTGTCAAACTCTACCAGCTTCCAGAGGCTTCCCCAGACGGCAGCTGTACGTGGCACATCTGGGACAGACACCCAGCTATCCTGTCCGTGATACAAATCACTTGAATCTTCAACGACAAATGCTGAAACCCCCACCCCACCTCACCTCCCGAGTTAGAACAAAGGTCATTCTCCAACACAAGAGGTCTGGGGGAGTAAAACTGACAAACAATGCCTCTCTTTCGGGGTAGCTCGGGTCAGTTTTGGCTAAGATAGAGGTAGCGATGTCAAAATCAGGCTTATAATGGGAAGCTAGGTTCAACCTTCTCTATAGAGACTAGCATCTCTCCACAGCTATGCTGACAGTCCCTCTCTGACATGGTGTATTTATATACGCATGTGTGCTGCATACGGCGTCGCTATAAATATCTTCAGCACCTTCTACGCTGTCCAGGCTCTGGTTTCACCGTCACTTTCCCCCTGGATAGACAGACTCACCAGACTCCATCTGTGTAAGTTACTAGCAGCTTCAGGCTCCAGCTAATTTTTCCCTTACAGAGCTGGGGCAGTTTGAGTCAGTGGGTTTGTGGAGCTGGAAAGTGGAGGACGCGCCAGCTGTTTCTGAACGGGCACGTAGACGACAGGCAGCATGTGTCAGTCAGGGCTACTAGCGATCAAAACCCTTTCTGGCAGATCAGAACCAAGCTGCCCCAAATTTTGTACGTAGGATCTCAGCCCAAGGTAGAATTTTAATGCCAAGTTTGAAGCAAACTAGAGTAGGCCTTTGGGAGATCGGGGGGTTCAAAGATTGAGGTGGGTTTCAGCTCTCACCACAAGCTCTGCGTCAGCTGCTCTGTTTGATTTCCTGGCGGCCAGGAGAACATTCAGCACCACCCGCCAGCCAGGCTCCGCCTTCACAGATGTCAGCTCCGATTGGTCACCGGTGTCCTCTGAGACGGCCTTCTCCTGCACTGGGTTGACCCAAGGGCACCAGTCGCGGTGTTGAGAGCTGGGATCGAAGAAGCTTCTGGTGGAAGTGTCCTGCAGGGAGAGGAGAGGAGAATGGGTCTAAACCAGGGAGGGGAGTGATGACTTGTTTTAAAGAGACGTTATTAACAATAATACAGTCAGACACTGATTTAAAATCACCCCCAACTCCAGCCTCCAAAGCCACGCTGGGGAGCCCTCTCCAGGGCAGCAGAGCACCCCCACCCAGGACATGGGTGTCATTCATCTCCAGGGCTGTCTGGGGAAGGGTTGGTTCCATCCTGCAGCCCGGGACTGTCCCAGGAGAAAGTATCTGACAACTGCCAGTGAAAGAAGCCAATTCAGTGGACCCTGCAGCAGCCCCCTCAAATCTCCCATTAGTACCCCTGAGCTGGAGGGGCCGTCTTTAGAGTGCTTCCGTGGACCCTCTGTTGAGGCTTAAAGGAGCAAATTCACCGCGATGATGGTGCTTTGATAAGGCGACACCTGTCCCACCACCAAGGACACCGCTCCATGACCCCGATTCGTTACACGAAGGCCACCAAGCAGCTGCCAGAGGGAAGCAACTTCCCATCACAACCAGGCCCATCCGGATTCAAACCCACAACCCAGAGGTGTGAAAGGCCCCACATCCCATTACCTTCCTTCCGATCCCTCCTGGGCCTGGAAAAGGATCTGACTTTGCCAGATTTGAGAAGAGGCAAAAAGGTGTAATTTCCTCAAACTGGATAGAAAGATAGAAACTAACGAGAGAGAGAGAGAGAGTGTGTGTGGGTGGGTGGATGGATGGATGTTCTCTCCGCTTCAGGGGATGGAGCCAGGACAGAGCAACACATGGTTGAGGAAGCAAGTTGCAAAGACTTTGCTAGCAGCAGGGAAAACCTGACCTGGATTCTTGAGAGAGTGGCAAATTCTCTCGGTTGTTCTCCTTGGCGCGTGGCCAGGCACTCACCGAACTACTGGAAGAGCAGAGGCGCGCCCGCTTGGCTCTCCTGTGAGGGCTGGATGGCACCTCCACGCTGTCCCCCTGCCCCATGCTGCGGGTCACCGGGCGGCTCCTCGGCGATGGGCTTGATGCCTCCGGCTCAGCCCGGTCCATGGGGCTCGAGCCATCCCAGCTCCGCATACGGGCTGTCACGGGGGATGGGCTCTTCTCGTGCTACCAGTGGGTAGGAGAGGGAGGGGAAAGTTAGCTCCTGATGGACAGCACTAGCTAGCAGAGTTCCTATGGTCACCAGCACTTCCTCACTGCTGGAGGAAGGGACCTGCACTCGAAGCACAGCAGATCCTCATGCCTATTACTACTCACACCCCAGCTCGAAAGCCTGTTTAGGCGCTGTAGGGAGCAGATCCAGGGCGAGTGGCTGGCACATCACTTACCTCTCTCCCCCAGTCCAACCGATCCATACACAGCCAGTCCTACCCAAGTGCAGCCTGACGAGACCCTACGCTTTTGGGGAGAGCTTTGTTCTGAGAGCACCTTCCCAGGGCTGGCCCCAGACAACCAGCCTGAAAATACCCATGTGGGCGGGACGAAAGACGGCACAGGCCACTGCCCATAACAAACACCGCTTGCTGCCCCGAGCCTTCCACCTGCCAGGCCCTGCTGAGACTTCCGGACCTCTGGTGCCAGCACCATTGCAGGAGAGGTGGAAGTGCTGCACTGAGACTAGCTGTCATACTTCCTCCCTCACAGGAGGTGGCGCTGTGCCCGGGGTAAGGGTTTTAGCGCTTTCTGCAGAGTCAACACAGTGATGTGAGTGACTGATCCTAGGGCGTGCAATCGTAAAAATGCATCAAAACCCAACCACCACCCAGCCAGGAAATGAGCGTTTAGATGGGTGCTACAGAACACCCTGGGATTCATTCAACGCTCATCCCCGGGTAACTGAACGCCGCTAGCCTTCAGACTCCCTGAGCAAACGACAGTATTTCGCATCCCCACTCCTCAAAAAACCCGCTGGGGCTCTCGAACAAAGGGGTTCTCCCCACCCTCTAGGCATTGCCACAGCTACCTCGCCAATGGCCTGGACATAACTTCAGTGCTACTCCCAAAGCGGGCAGAGGGCTCGCTCAAGTCCAAAGCCGCGTGAGAGATCCCCCCAGCACAGGGATTAAATGCCTGGATGCTGAAGCTAAACAGTCGGACTGGAAAGAAGGCACATTTTTGACAGAGAGGGTAATTAACCATTGGAATAACTTGTCATGGCGGAGTCGCCATCACTGACAATTTTACAATCAAGATGGGATGTTTTTCTCGGAGATCTGCTCTCGGAATTAGTTTAGGGACATGCTCTGGCCTGTGTTATACAGGAGGTCAGACCAGAGGATAACAATGGTCCCTTCTGGCCGGGAAATCGATGGAAGAGTGAGACGTAGACCTTGCCCCCGTGGGGCAGTACACTGCTGCTCCACTAACCACTCCCAGAACTAGCCTGCTCGCTGAATTTTCAGGGGTAGCTCTGGGATGACGGACCGAGCGCACGTTGGGGGCCTATTCCCCCTGACTCACTGCGGGATCTTGACCGCCCCAGAGGTGTCTATAAATAAAAATAGCCAGAGGCCAACATTTTCAAAAGCCGCAGTGATGGAGGTGCCTGGATTTCGGAGACCCTGCGGGGGCGGATTCTCATTGGCGCTGAGCACCTGCAGCTCCGAGTAAGTCACTGAGAGCTGCGGGTGCTCAGCACTTTGGCAAACCTGGCCTAAAATGCAGGCAGTCGATGGCCACTTTGGAAAGTTTGGGCCGTAGAGAAAATTCCAGCCTGTGGGGCCCACAGTCAGGCACCTCCCACCGGCACTGCGTCCCCTTTAAAAAGAGACAGAAGTAACCCCTTCCTCCTCTTCCCCAGTGGTCTCGCCCAGGAACCTAGCTTCAGAAATCTGCATGGGTGAGAGGGATCGGTGCTCACAGCACACGATGCTCCCCGATTTATCAGGACATCTTTCAGTCCTGCTGATTTTGCAGTTTCATCCCCCTGTTACTCTGCAGCAACAAAGCTGGGGCTGCGCTGTGAACCTGGCCTTGATAACGGCACCAAAGCTCCCTTTCATGCCATCCCACAAGACAGGGATGAAAGGACGGGCCTGCAGGGGGTCGCCCCATAAAAGCGGCGAGATTGGAAACACGGCAGCGCGACGGAGCCCGGGCTGAGGGAGAGCTGCCTTGAGTGCACAGGCACCAGCGGCAAGTATTGTGGGGGAATAGGCCTGGCTGGCCTCCCTTGCACCGATCAGAACATCGGCGAAGACTCGTCATATAGGCCCGCCCTGCAGGCCACAAGCCTGAACGAGGCTAAGTGACACAGCCTCCTGCCAAACTCGGTCAAGGGTCATGACCGGGGGGGGGGGGGGGGGGGGGGGAACAAGGAGGGAAAGAATAAAAAGCCCCAGCAGCAGCACTAATGAAATATGTTCATGGCTGATGAAATATAATAACCGCTTGTGTGAAGCAATAGCTGAATGCAAAGTGACTAAATGCAACTTCTCTGAGCACCCTGTAATTCCAGCTAACGGCCAAACTAGCCAATCATAGATCTTCTTTGGGCGTCCCGTGATAAACCCCTATGCCCTTAACCGTAAAACCCCGGAAAAATAATACGTACCTTGCCGAGAAAAGCATTCCAACTGGTGCCAAGTACCATCCACGGCGGAAACCACCAAGAAACCCCCCCACCCAATAGGTACCCAATTCTCGTAAAATAATGAGGAAGGTACCGGGAAAAAGGGACAGACCCCAACTCTTATTTCACGCAAATGACGTATTATTTGTACTATGCTTGCGGTTTGACGGAATAAAGGCAGCCTGTGAGCTGTGATCGGGTGTGGTAGTTTTCGGACTGCTACCCCAACGCGTTGGTACGTATTGCAATAAACTGGCCTCAGGCTTGAGTCTGTGAACTAAAATCAATGCGCGGGTGACTTTTTCCACGACAGTCTCAATAACCAGCTTAAAGAGACGCTTGGGAATCGGTGCTTGGGAATTGGAACCTGGTTCCACTGGAAAGAATGCTCGTGTCTGCAGATCTGGATCAAACAAGGAGCCATCTTCCCTGGGGGCAATGGCAAAAGGATGCTGCCAGCGACCGTGCCGTCAATCAGAAATCCACCACAAGTACCCGCCTGGGACCAGATCCTGATCCCAGTTACACTGGTGCAAATCTGGAGTAGCCGCGGAGCACGGTGCTGTAATATAGTCAACAGCCACTTCCCTACCTGCAGAGTCCAGGCCAGAATTTAGGGAGACCCCATGTGATCAGGCAGCACAGGCTACGTTTAGTTTCTGGAATTGGGCGCCAGAGAAAACCACTGGGTTTTGTCCACGTTCAGTGGCCTACATAAAGAGTCCCCGGCATGTTCATCACAACCGAGCCCAGGCTCTTGTCTAGCACCCAGGCCAGGACAGTGGGCATTTGGGGGATTTAACCTCTCAGCAAAATGCTTGATTCCCACAGCCTCCCCCCATCCCCACCAGCTGGCACTTGGAGGCTGCTTTCCAGCAGGATTACGACAGCGCTAAGGTAAGTCCCTGCCTGGCCTTAAACTACCTGACCATGTCGCTTTAACATTCCCACAAGGGACGTTCTAATTTCAGATCTACGCAGGGAGCTCCACCCCAGCAAGCCAACGCGCTGGTGGGGGGCTGCCTAGAGCTCTCGGCAGTCAGGGATGTGGCTTCAGTTGACCAAAGGAGAGGGGGGTCTCTAGACCGTGATAAGCCCACGCGTCTTTTCTGCTGCAGCACTCCTAACTCACCTGGCAGGACCCAAACCCAGATCCCATGAGTGGCAACACAGGGGGCTGTCACTAGACCATCACGCTGGCCCAGACATTTCTCCTTCCCTAGGACGGACATCTAGCGCCATATAAACAGCACGTCTGATGCTGGGATAGTAAATACACTGCCACGAAGGCCTTCCATACACATCACAATTACAGGCCTTTTCACAAGGCCACAGGGCTTCAGCGCACACAGCTTTGCTAGGTGTCTCCATCTCTCTCCAAACCTCCCTCCCAAAGAAACTTGGAGGGACCTCTCCGAGCAAGAGAGGCGAAGCGTACCTGCTCCGAGCCCGGAGGAAACGTTGTGTCCTGGCTCCTCGTGATCATCCTGCGGGGAGACGTGGGCACCAGTGGGGCTCGGTCCGAGCGTGCCTCTGTGGGCGTGGTGGGAGTGCTGCTGAATCCAAAGGAAGAGTCCAATTCGACCATGGAAGACTCAATCTGATGGAAACCCCACAGCCCCACCTTCCTCATGCAGCGGGAACACGTGATCACCGGGAGGTGCATGGACCCTGACGAAGGGCTGTGTGTTGGAGGCAGGGTAGAATGGGGTGAGGAGAGAAAGTCAGGAACAAATCTAGGCAATTCCTCAAAACTGATACTGATTATTAGAACAAACAGACGTATTTGATAGACTAAACATTTAGTTCAGTGTTCCCCAAACTTCTGAAAGCTGAGCTCCCACTTCCGGGAAACCAATCACACCCCCCCGCCATGCACTGTTAAAAGTCTACACATTTTAATCTATGCACCAACTTGCACACACACCTCAGTTAGCTCTTTGCATGGTCCTTCCTTTCCTTTCTTTCATGCTTTGATGAGCAGTGAAATAATCAACAGTGTTGACGTTTATTTGAAATAGCATCATTGGCATCTAAGTTAATGGGGCAGTTGACAGCTCAGAGCTATTGTTTCAGGCTCTCTGCAAACTCAGGCAGATGTCTATCTCTGCATCAGTTACTTCACTTCATGGTTTTGGAGGTTTTCTTTGCAACCACAGCAGCTAGAGCAGGGGTGGGCAAACTTTTTGGCCCAAGGGCCACATTGAGGTTGCAAAACTGTATGGAGGGCCGGGTAGGGAAGGCTGTGCCTCCCAAAACAGCCTGGCCCCACCTCCATCTGACCCCTCCCACTTCCCACCCCGACTGCTCCCCTCAGAACCCCCGACACATCCAACCCCCCCTGCTCCTTGTCCCCTGACCGCCCCCTCCTGGACCCCCCACCCCTAACCGCCCCCCAGGACCTCACCCCCATCCAACCCCCCTGCTCCCAGTCCCCTGACTGCCCTGACCCCTATCCACACCCCCGCCCCCTGACAGGCCCCCCC